ATATATATATATACACACACACACCATTGGCTGCCAAAAGAACAAACGAATCTCTGTTGGAAAAAGTACTTCAGACATTATCAGGGGGGATCAGTGCCTGGAGAAGGGTATCATGCTAAGTAAAGTAGAAGGTCAGCAAAAAAGAGGAAGGCCTCCAGTGTGCAGCAGAGTGGTGGCAACAAAAAGTTAAGTGTAGCAAAGATTGTGAGGGAGACACAGGACCAGGCAGTGTTGCATTCTGTTGTGCATAAAGTTGCAACGAGTCAGTAGAGACTTGATGGCATGTAACCATAACAATTACAGGGTATTAAAAGTTGTTACACCCAGTTTTGAAAGGTGCCTATCTAGTGTGTTTCTCACCGAATTTTTTCATCCTGCCATGCGTTGGCCAGTAACCCACTTCACCATTTTCCATCCCTCTCACCCTAATTTCACCTTAGTTGAACCAAGCCCTAAAAAACAACCCTACTACCACTGACTTGACTATAACTCACAGTGACCCTGTATATAGGGTTTCTAAGACTGAAACTTTATGAGAACAGAAAGCCTCATGGAGAGATGGAGTGGCTGGGGACTCTAGAGCCAGAGAGGGAGAGGGGCTGTGTGCTAACTACCAGGGGCCAAGCTTGCCTTTGGTTAGTTGATGAATGGAGGGGATTGTAACCATGGCAATGTAACGATATATGATAGGATGAATGTAAAGCTAATGTTCTCCCATGTAAACTAGCAAATAATTCACAATAAAACATTAGGAAAACAAAAACAAAAACAAAAAAACTTCCACAAGTTTGTAAAAGAAAAAGCCAGTGGAAAAACAAAATTTAAAAAAAAATTTTTTTTCTACTAGCTTTTTCTATGGATCTTTTAAAGTCCCCTCATATTGTTCCCTTTTTATACTATAAAAGGATTATCTATCTCTGCTATTGCTATGTATTGCCAATGTGCACAGAAGTGACATGCCAGTTCTGAGTAGAAATTTGAAGACCCATGTGAATTTCCACCAGTTTTCTTGTTTATTTCTTTTTCCTTTGGTATGAGAATAGCGTGTCCCAGATAAGAACTGCTCCTTTAGCCAGGATCCTGGACTAATGATTTTGAACAGAAGGAGATCTACAGCCAACATAAAATGTGAGTAAGTAAAAATGTTTTTTTGTCAAAAGCAAGAGATTTGGGGGATTTTGTTACTGTAGCAAAACTGACTATACCTACTTCTCACTTACTGATAATCTCATCTGACAATTCAAATTAAGACAATAAATAGTAAAATACCTATCAGACTATTTTGAGCACTAGCAATGTACATATTGCAGTAATGACCACCAATGTGCAAAGCAAGAGCACTGCTGCTATGATGGCCAAGCAATGATTCTCAGCAGTTATGTAATAATGTGGTCATCTTCCATTTTAGTATAACACTGACTTCTGATTAATAACCTGGTCTTTGGAACCTAATCATGTCAATAAGTAATGAAAGGCTAACCAAAATATCAAGTTATCCCTAAAAATTTTCAGTGATCAATTTGATATGAACTCTAGAAATTATCTTTAAGTGTTTGGTATCATAACTTACCCTTAATTCCTCTTGTAACGAAGCATACATTTCGTTTATCTTATGTACCTCCTTTAGAGATCCATCTTCTTCAAAAAAATCAGAGCTTTAAAAAAAAAAAAAAAAAAATTTCCTCAGGTATATTATACACAGAGTTAATTTTAATAAGATTGCACACTTATGTTGTTGTTGTTAGGTGCCATTGAGTCGGTACTGATCCATAATGACCTTATGCACAGCAGAACCAAACACTGCCCGATCCTGGGCCAACCTCACTACTGTTGCCACACTTGAGTCCATCGATGCTGCCACTTGGCCAATGCATCTTGTTGAGGGGTCTTCCTCTTTTTCTCTGACCCTCAACCTTACCAAACAGGCTTTCTACGGTTCATTAACTTGTCAACCTACTTGCACACAGCAAAACCCACCCTAAACAACACTTCATTTGTCTTCACATTATCACTGTTTAGCTCTGTAAGTATAGTTCGACAGAACTCAAACAAGAGGTTAAGTAAAAATAAAGACTGAAGGATAGAAGGGGATAAACAATTGTTATTGGCAGTTGGGACAGGCATTAAAAATAAAAAAGAAAACTAAGTCACCATTGATTGAAAATGAACTGGGGTAGCATAGTGGGTTTTGAGTTGGGCTGCTAACTGCAAGGTCAACAGTTCAAATCTACCAGTTGCTCTGAAGGAGAAAGATGAGGCTTTCTCCTGTAAAGATTTAGTCTCGGAAACCCTATACAGGATCACTGTAAGTTGAAACCAAATTCACAGCACACAACTGTCACCACCACCATCTTACATTCACAAAGAAAAGAAATGCTAAAGAAGTTATGGTTTGTAAGATGTATCCCCATTTCAATGGTTAATGTAAAGGAAAAAAAAGTATATCTTACAATCAATGAAACATGGCATTCAATTGCTACAGTACATAATTCAGTACTGTGAGGACACATAAATATATTTTGAGGCTATTTATTCTAACCTAGAACGTTGTTAAGTGCTGCTGAGGCAGTTCCAACTCACAGGGACCCTGTATAGAGTTTCCAAGGCTTTTAAATCTTCCTGGGAGCAGAAAGCCTCATCTTTCTCTCTAGAGAATGGTTGGTGGGATTGAACTATCAACCTTGTGGTTTGCAGTACAGTGGTGCCACTAGGCTCCAAAACCTAAAATAGATAAGCTGAAATGTACAGAATGTCCAACAAACTTCTCCCCTGCTTTTTAAAATTTTATATTCTTTAATCTATAAATGGACAATTGCTAGAAGGAAGTCTGGAGAAAGTAAAAACAAAGGAGGTCTGGTAGCGTAGTTGGGCTGCTAATCTAAAGTCAACAGTTGGAAACTACCAGCCGTTTGCAGGAGAAAGATGAGGCTTTGTGCTCCTGTAAAGATTTGCAGCCTTGGAAACCCTGTACAGGGTTGTTATGAGTCACAACTGACTCCACAGAACATATATAACAACCACCACTGAGTAATGTGATCATTACTTAGTTTTCCCCTCAGATTTATTCTGCTATTATTTGTACAATAAAAACATTAATTTCAGAATATTACTTATGAGTTTTATTGGAAAGCAGATGAAGACTCTCACCTGTGTGCTTTTACTGCTCGGTTGAAACCCATGGACGTACAGGAACCTGACGTAGTTTTGTAACCCAACTGTTCAGACATACCCAGATTGGCAACCACTAAAGGTACTCTATGAAAATGTCTGAAAATAACATTTTAAACTATAAATTTAGTTCAAAGTGAAATTACAGCTATTAATTTATCTATAACAAAATCTAGTAGACTACTTCTCCCATTATAAGACTGAAAAACAAAAAACTCCCACTCTTTACTATATACCCAAGATAGAACTTACTGATGAGAGGCAACTGGTTTGTAAAGGTTATGGAGATGTGCATGATGTAAAAATAAACCAACCATATATCTATTTTAAATGATTGACAAGTATAAGAAACTGGAAGTATTGAAATGAGATTTATCTATCTTTTAAAGATAACAAAATTAATCTTAGTATGCTTTTGTTGTTGTCAAAGTACCGTTGAGTCATAGCGACCCAGTATAGGATTTCCCAGGAGTGGCTGGTGAGTTTGAATATCGACCTTGTGGTCAGCAGTTCAGGGCTTATCTTCCAGGGCCACATTTCATGGAAATGATACAGCATATGGAGAATACCTGCTAGATTCATTTTGGTGGATCAGCAAGAACCACTTCTATTTGTAGAGATTTAAACACCAAATCAACCATTATCTAAATAGTGAATAGCAAATCTTTAGTATCAGAATATAAGTCAGTTTTCCACACTGGGGTTCTAGGTTCCTTATCTGGCCTTCAGTTTTCCATCTATAAAGAGACATAAAACCACTTTCCCAGAGTTATTAGACCACTTTGACTACTTGGTAAGCTGCAAAGTACGTTAAGAATATTAAGCATCGTTTTCTATTAGCTCCCGATAGCTGATAACTGGACAACATTTACCCTTCTTGAGGTTTATGTAAGGCATGTTCCAACCGATGAGTAGAGCAGTTTTCTGTTATTATACTTGGTGTTAGTAGCAGGAAAACAAGCTCCGGATTGGAAAGGTGCTTTATTAAGTTTTTGTGAAGCAGTCTCTCTCTGAATGTCATAATCTGATCTGAATGACGTCGGAATTTGTACCAACCTACTACATTCTGAAAAGATATAGGAAAATGCATCAGTTGTATGTCTTAATGTATACAATGGTTATGTCTTACTGCTATAATTAAAAATAAAACTGACAATATTAAAATATGACTTTCTTAATATTTAAGAAGATAGCATATTACTGTACTTTCATAAAGAATGCAAACTGACTTATAGCTAAATTACTTCCCAGTTATGTCACACTAGAATTTTATTCAAAATACAGTAGGAAAGGCAATTCTAAATGTCCTCTACATTCTTTTATAATAATTTGCTATTTTGAAATATTAATCTTTAGTTAAAATTGAAATGAAAAAAATGCCAACATCATTTTTACTTTATAGGCAACATATCCCAGGAAAACAAGATAACGTCCTATACGGATAACTGTAACATCCTACACAAAAATGTATTATCGATCAATTTTTTTTAAGACTTCTGGAAAAATGGCAGACTAGGCAGAGGCACTACATGGCCCCACTACAATAAAGATACAAGAGACCAAATAAAACAGACAAAGATGAACATTCTGGCACACTGAACATCAGAAGAAAGGTTAGAAGTAGATGGAGTACTTGCTCTGGGAGCAGAGGGTGAGCAGGGATGGTGAGAGAGGGAGACTAACTGGTGAACAGCTGGCCAGATACGTCTCCATCATCTTATGAGTAGCTCTGGCAGTGGAGGGAGGCCTGGCAGAACAGATTTACGTGGGCAATGTAAAAGGTGTAATTTGTTCTTTTTCCCCACCCTCCCCTGGAGTCCTAGTGTGGCACTATTGGATAATGCACTGAACAGCAGGTTGATTTGAACTGCAAGGCTGGCAATTCAAACTTACCAGCTGCTCCTTGGAAACCCTATAAGTTTGATCTGACTCAACAGCATTTAACAACCACCACCACAGGTGACCAGAGCTGTGGCCAGCTCTAAAGCACCCCTAGTGCTAACCCTACTGTCAGAGAGTTCCGAGCCACATGGTTGAGTCATGCCAATGTGAGTTGAGGGCTGGCTGTACTTCATTGATGTCTGGATTCGGGTAGACCTGGCTCCAGAGATCCACCAAATCAGCATTTAACCAGTACCCTGCCTCCAACTGCCCTGTGGTCCTCACAGACACTGAAACCAGTTCCTCAAGGGCACCTGCAAACTACTACCGGACTGAGCGCCCTGAACACAGAAACACCTAGGCCTATAGGAACTCCATCTAGGGCTAAGAACTCTGCTGTCACATCCCTTCCACACTCACCTTGCGAGCTCCTTAAATTGCAGGAACCCCACAGAGATTTCTTCCCTCCAGGTCCAACAACTGCACTATTTGTTTTCACAAATAAAACGCCCCACAGTACCCACAAAGACAGCAGACAGTTTTAGCTCACATGAAGAAACAACAGAAAATGGCTCAAACAATGATCAAGATGCAGAGCCAGAAAACATTTCTAAGGAAGGAAAGCATAAAAGAAATAATTGAAAAAGAATATAGAACAATATTACTTTGGTATATTCCACGGATTGACGGAAAGATCAAGGGAAGCAAGGAGAACAATAAAAATTTTCGAAAAATTTAGGAAAAAGCTACAAGAACAAACAGACAAAATAAATGCAAATTTTGAAACAATACAAAATCTTCTGTCAGAAATATGGAAGATTAATAATACTAAGATTTCAGAAGTGGACAATACATTGAAAGGGCAAAGGAAAAGATTTAAAGCAATGAATTAGTGAACTTGAATATAAATCTCTCAATACTAGTATGCTGTAAGGAGCTCTGGTAGCGTACTGGTTACAAGTCAGGCAGCTAATCTCATGGTCCAGCGGTTCTGCAAGAGAAAGTTGAGGCTTTCTGCTCCTGTACAGATTTACAGCCTCAGAAACCCTATACAGGGTCACTATGAGTCGGAACCGATTCCACGGCATACCACCACCACAAAAACAATCAGGAAAAGGAATGAAAAAAGCCAAAGACAGCCTAAGAGTTATGTGAGACACCATACACACGTGACTGGAATTCCAGAACAGCAAGAGACAGTAAGTACACCACTCCAAGACTGAGACTCAAAGGGAACACTCAAGCAGGTCATGTAAGCTAGTTGGCTTCCACGTTGGTCGATGTGAGTGGAAGTGGGGGAAAGTCAGTAACGAAGATATGTGCGGAGTTCGACCATGTTCCATAGGCTCCTGTCAACGTTGTGATGAGAGAGAGAAGAGGAGGGGCTGGTTGGTCTGAAATTTGGGGAGACTTGGGAATTCCTGAGCCCATGGACACTGACCTAGCCACAAAGGACTAGAGCTGATATGAAGTGGGAGAATGCCCAAACTTGCAGATTGTACCCACTTGACCTATCTCTGATGGCTTGATGACTACAGCTCAATTAAAGGAAAATGAAGAAATCTACTAAAGGAAGCAAGTGTAAATTGCTACAATTTGATGAGCTTGACTTATACTTTTGGGGGTAGTTGCTCAAAATACCAACTGAGAGGGAAAGAGTCTTCACATCAAGTATCAAAACTATCCCCTCAATATACAGGGCTAATAGGAATGAGCAACTTAGATACTGGTTACCTAAAATGGGGTGGAGGGGGCTATAAAGGTATGAAGTGGCTGGCTTATAAATTTTCAAGAGGGAGTTTAGTTTCAGAGTGTGCTGGGGAAGGTAGAATCTCCACTGAATAGTTTTTCATCTTGTATATATGGGTCTGGTGAAAAGAAATGGGGATAGGATTCTTTTGATTCAATAGTGAGTAACTGTTATCATGACTACTTGCGATTTTAACAACTGTAAAGGTAATAGTTTTGTAACATAAAGGGGAGAGTAGTTAATCTTACATTCCAGGAACAGAGGACCAACCCTAGGACCATCAAGGGAGAAGAACATGAAAGGAACATTGGATTCTAACCAGAGAAGCAGCGACACCAGAGATGGAGATGGAGCAGAGGTGATGGCATGGAGAGACAGAGTAGCTGTCTAGATTCATGGAAAGAACTCTAGATTCATGGAATGAGAAAAGCGATGTGCTGGCAGCCAGGAGGCAGACTGGCAGAATGTGCTCTTTGGTAGTTTAAATGATTACATGTTCCTGAGTGTTTTTATACACATCCCCAAAAAACAAACAAACAGGGAATAGAAGAAAATACTGTTAAATGATGATGCACGGAGGGGATTGTAATCATTGCAATGAAATACGATAGGATGAGTGCAAAACCAAAGTTCTTACATATAAACTATCACTCAATTCACAATGAAAGCTTTTTAAAAAAAGAGAGACAGTAAAGAAGCACAGAGAAATGTCAAGAGTTGTTGAAAGAAAACTTCCCTAATATCATGAAAAATGAGATAGTAAGCATACGAAAAGCTGACCAAACTTAACATAGGAGAGATCACAGAAAAAAGTCACCTGGACATATCACAATCAAACTTTCTGAAATCAATGACAAGGAAAGAATCCTGAGAGCAGCTCACGAAAAAATGAAGATACCTACAAAGGAGAACCAAGAAGACTAACCTCTGATTTCTCAGCAGAAACCATGCAGGCAAGAAGACACATACAAAGCTCTGAAAGTAAAATATTGCCATCCAAGAATCATACATTCAGCAAAACTGTCCTTCAAATACTATGGTAAATTAGGACATTTCCTGATAAACAGAAATTATAGTGACCAGACCAACTTTAGAAAAAACGTTAGAAGGTGGACTGAGAATCAACAACAGCAAACAGCAACCTGAGATTACCATACATAACACCACCACTCAAAATTCAACCCAGATATAGAGGTATTGAAAGGACTGAAAATAGGGAATCAGACATATCAATGTATAACAAAGTCAGCTTCAAAGCAAAAACAGGGACTGGTATAGATATAGAACTTCCAAATGGCAAGGAAGTCAAGCAGATTTCAAGGTAAAACAGACAGTTTTAAGTAGGAAAAAAATTAATAAATTTCAGGCTAACCTCAAAGAAAATGAATACACCTTCACATCAAAATAAAAAACAGAAGAAAATCAGAAAGATTTAGTAAACATTAACACTAGATAAATGAAAAGAAACCCCACAAACAAAATGAACTCAGTACAGAAAATAATGTTAAACAGACTTTGGCACCACAATCATACAGAAAAATGACAACAATCAATTCATATATATTGAGAATTACACTGAATGTAAATGGATTAAACATACCAGTCAAGAAACATTGCTAAATAGGTAAGAAAGCAGGATCCTTCAATATGCTGTCTACGAGACTATCAAAAGATAGTCTAAATGCCCATTAACGAAAGAAAGGTTAAACAAACTTTGATACATATACACAAGGGAATACTGTAAATAGGAATAACAATGACGGTTTGAACCACAAGGTCGGTGGTTCAAGCTCACCAGCTACTTCTCAGAAACCCTATGGTTGCTATGGGTCAGAACACCTCACATGAGTGAAATACCCCACAATATGGGTGAACCTGGAGTACATTATGCTCAATGAAATTATAGTCAATCACAAAAGGACAAACACTGTATGAGACTAATGTTGCATAAAGTTAAGAAGGGGGTTTCTTGGTAAAAGTAATAATCTGTGATGCTTTAAGGGAATCGGGGTGGGAAAATTATTCATGGGCTAGAGGGTAGACACATATTAACATAGGTGACAAGGCAGGCAATACACAAGAGGGAGGTTAACAGAAGAAAGATGAAGACAGTGGGAGACACAGGGAGGAATGCAATTTTTTTTAAAGAGAATGGAGGTAAATACTGCTAACTGTTGGTACATGGAAGAGACTGCAACCATGTGATGAAGCAAAGTATATGATATGTTGAATGTAAAACTGATTATCTGCTGTGTAAACCACTCAATTCACAAGCAAAAAAATCTTTAATTTTATGTGAAAAATAATATTTTAAGTAATTGTAGCAGAAAAACTTTTAATTGCTAGTGATCTGTGACATTTTCAGCAATTAAGTTTCTATATTTACACACTTCAAATCAAAATTACTTTTCTCCATCTTAAAAGTAAAACATGTCTTTCTAAATACCCAAATAAAATTGGGGGGATAAGCCTGTGCATTTCCAACAAAGAATTTAAAAACAAAGCTTCCATTATTGAAATTATTTAAATTTTCAAATCAGAGATCAAAATGGCAAAAAAGGAAAAATATAGTACCTAGAAATTTTTTGGGGGAAAAAAATGCATAATTTTCATTAATTTAATGTTGTAATTGAACACCCAGTATGGTGAAATATAAAAAATAACCACAAGAGGAGACAAAATGTAGGTATTTGTATCTTTTCAATAATAGTAATAAAATGCTAAAAATGAACGGCCCTGGGAAAAAGTGTTATGAGAATACAAAAGCGGGAGAGAACAATGCTAATAATCATAGTCAAGGAAAAGAAGAACAAAACTAATAGTTTTACTGACAAATTCTTTTAGAGCAACTCATTTGACTATCTGGGATAAACATTTCTTCACATGTCTCATAGGATATTATGAAGATAAATGCTGCTTTAAAATTCTGTCAAAGTACTAGCATTTAAAAAAAAGTACTTACATTTTTAGGAGCCCAAAATGATGCATGTAATTTTTCCCCTTTACAAAACCAGATTAAAACAAAACAAGTAAACCAGGAAATGTTATGATTACTGGAGGTAAAACTACAATACCTTTTTGACATTTGATAATATTTTCTTCAGTGCTTGCTCATTTACTTCACCTAGAGAATTATAAAACCTGTAAAAGCCCCCCCAAAAAAAGCCAACATTAAAGACATTTCAAATAAGCCAAATGTATGAATAATTTTATTACTTTTTAATTTTAGTTCCCTTTACCAATTTACCCAATCAAGACCCATGTATCCATTTGCCTGTCATATGAAACTCTAAATAGTAGAGCAAATTTTGAAATTGGTAGACTTAAAGTGAAAGAAACAGGAAGTCTGTAAGCAAAGGAAAAGGGGTGAAGAAACTTACTAAGGGTTAATTCTGGGTATCTCATTTTCTACCCTAAAACAAAACAAAAAATTACCCACTAAATAGAGATATCAAAAACTATATTCTTCTTATAACCAATATGCAATTCATTTATAATTTATTAAAAGAGGTTTTGTGAGAGAACAAACAAGATGGTAGATCAGGTAGCATTGCAGGGAGGAGCTCCATGAGCAACAACACAGAATACCGGACCAAGCAGGCTCAGGGGATGGTGTCAGAACTCTGAACCACATATAAGGGAATATTTAGAAGATTGGAAGGCTTACAGCTAGGGGAATTGGAAGCAGAAGCAAGAAATCCAATGCTTTGTAATTCAAGACGATCAGCTACTCCCAGAACCGCCATCTTGGGCGAGATTGATCCAGGCAAGGATCAGAGCAGCCACGGACACCCTACAGAACTGCAGAGATAAAGGTGGGGGCATTCTTTTTTATTTTTATCTCTTCATTGGTGTCTCGCTGTCTATGCACCTCCATTCTAGTGACTAGAGGGGGTGCCTGAGTAAGAGGACACCTCACCCCCCGAGGGTTCTGCTACACATGCACACAGATCTACTCGAAATTTAAAGTGACAGTTTCCACTTAAAACCAAACGGCAGTGCAAAATGGCCACAGCTGGCCTTGAACTGTTTATCACCAGGAAAAAGGCCTGAACGGGAATTGTGAAGTGGGACAGGCACACTAAAAAGGATATAGGCCGCAAATTAAATCTGGAGCTACATCACAACAACCAGCAGTGGCATCTTGAAATTTCTCAGGAAGAAGAGTGAAAAGGGAAGCCCATCTCCTGATCACATCTACCTGGAGGCAATCAGAAAGCATGAAAAAATACCAAAAAACGCACCCATCTAAGTATTAAGTCCACAGATAACTCCCTAATAAGCCCCCAAAAACACAAACAGATGACTGTATCAGCATAGGTCCAAGTGACTGAGACAAATGAGCTGGAAGTAGACCTACATTCCATACTGGAAGATGGGCAGGCTTTGGAAATGCCTGAGAAGGAATTCAGAAAAATGATTATAAAATGTATCAAAACACTATACAATGCAGTTGAGAAAAATAAGGAAGAAGTCAGGAAAGCACTACAGGAACAATCAAATAAAATAGATACAGCATTGGAAACAATTCAAAACCTACAGAAAGAGGGTCAAACGATTAATAATAGAATATCAGAAATGGACAATACACTGAAAGGGCAAAGGAGTAGAACTGAAGAGATAGAAGCCAGAACTAGTGAGCTAGAAGATAAATCTCTCAACAATACTAAGATAGAAAAATAATCACAAAAAAGTATAAAAAAATCTGAAGAAGGCCTAAGATTCATGTTGGATAACATGAAGAGGAATAACATAAGAATTATTGGCATTCCAGAACAGGAACAATCACACAAATCCACAGAGGAGATAGTTGAAAAGCTTATGGAAGAAAATTTTCCTAATATCATGAAAAGTGAAAAGAGAAGCATTCAAGAAGCTCAATGAACCCCAGGATGGACAGACCCTAAAAGACAATCACCAAGACATATAATAATCAAGCTCTCCAAAATCAAAGATAAGGACAGGATCTTGAAAGCAGCTAGGGGAAAAAGAAATATAACATACAAAGGCAAGCAAATCAGATTAAGCTCAGGGATTTCTCAACAGAAACCACTCAGGCAAGAAGGCAATGGGGAGAGATATATAAAACCCTGAAAGAAAAAAACTGCCACCCAAGAATCCTCTACCCAGCAAAGCTGTCAATCAAATACGATGGTGTAATCAAAACATTCCAGGATAAACAGAAGCTAAGGGACTTTGCCAAAGCCAATCCTGCTATGAAAAATATCCTAAAGGAAGTTCTGTGAACTGAGAACCAACAAGAACAGTCAACTAAAGAATGATGAACGTGGCAAGAAGAGAATAAAATTATAAGAACAGGAAAAAAAAAAAAGCTAAAGTGAATATAGAGAGAAATACTGTAAACTGATGATACCTGGAGGGGATTATAATCATTGTAATGAAACAAGATATATGATTTGTTGAATGTAAAACTGATGGTCTGCCCTGTAAACTGTCACTCAATCCACAATAAAAACCTTAAAATCAAAATTTAAAAAAATTTTTTAAGTGGTTTAGTGATATTTATACATAGAAAATGCACATGCTTCATAGGACAATAACAAAAGGGCAAACTACTCATTGCTACCTACCCCTATGGATACAGTAGCTCAAGATGGAACAAATCTTTGCAGCAAGAATCATTCCCACCCACTCACACACACAGTAGACAGGGATAGGCAACATTGGCTACCCAAAATGGGGAGGGGGGGGGGGACTACAAAGGCAAGAAGTGACTGGCTTACAAGCTTTTAAGAGGGAACCTAGATCCAGAGGGTGTGGAGGAAGGTAGAATCTCCAGTGAGTAGTATTCAATCTGTCTGGGCGGGGCTGATGAAAGGTAATGCGGATAGGTCTCTTGTGATACAATAAAGAATAAATTGTTATCATGACTGATTGTGAAGTTTGGAAATGTAAAGGTAGATGTTTTGTAGCAAGGAGGGGAGTGATTATTACCTTTTCAGTGTAGGAGTGGAGGTCCCTGGGACCATCAAGGGAGAGGAGTGGAGAGCGGGACCTTACCCAGAGAAGCAGTGATGCCTGAGATGGAGGCAGAGACGATGACGTGGAGAAATGGAGCAGCTGGGGACTTTAGACACAGAGAGGGAGAGGGACTGTGTGGTGATGATGGGGGTGGAGGGCACAGGCTTGCAGGGTATATATCCTTTGGTTGTTTGATGATGCATGAAGGGGATTGTAACCATGGCAATGAAACAATATATGACAGGATGAATGTAAAACTAATGTTCTCCCATGTAAACTATCACATAATTCACGATAAAAAATTAAAAAGAATAATAAATTAAAAAAACTACTCATTGCTAATTTATTTTACATATTAGACAACCAACTATGCCAAAAGGTATATTTCTATCAGATAAATACTGGTTTAGGCACTGTGGGTTAATGCGCTGACCTGCAAAGTCAATTTGAACCATAAGGTCAGTGGTGCAAAGTCACCAGACAAGTCTAGGAAATCCTATACAGGGTCGCTATGGTCAGAACTCTCGATGGCACTTAACAACATTGGAATCCTAGTGTAGTGCGGTGTGTTGTTAATGCACTGGATTGCAAGGACAGTTTGAACTGCAAGGTCAGTGTTTCAAACTCACCAACTGCTCCTCAGAAACACTATACAGGGTCATGGGCAGGAACTGACTCAGTAGCACTTAACAACAATAACAGGGAGCATTAGTTTTCTAGTGGGTAGGTTTGAGTTTAGTGGTCTTTGTTCTGTAGTGGAATGCCAACGATGTAAGAATAATGGTAGGATAATTAATAAAGATTCTAAATCATTTCTAGTTCTTTCCATTTTAATAACAGAAGACTGCAAATACTGTTTTCTCCTTTTAGCATACATTAAGATCAACAATGCTACTTTTCTACTGATGAATTTCTTGTTATATAAAATGCTTTATAAATATTTATTGAAAAAGGTTTTTACTGGTGAATCTAATGTGTATACTGAAAAAATACTGTTCACTTTTATAAAACTGAAAAAAAAAAAATCTTAATAGGTGTTGCAGACCGTGTAAGCCTGGTCAGAAGTCCAAGGCCTTATAGGCCCGAGTGTAACAAATGAGGCCACTGGCAGTCAATAGCAAATTGTTTTTCATCTTAGTATTCGGTTATATTATAATTAAATGTAGACATGAGCCATTAATGTCCACAGATAAATGTGATATTTTCCTAAAGCCCAAGACTGTAATGGTTACAAGGTCAAGCCTTTCTCCAAAGGATTAACTAAAAATATCTTAGCTACTTCTAGGTTCTTTGTTCTATAGACAAAGAACCCATCCTCCCTAATCCCTTTTCCAGGTGCAGCCCATTCACCTGTGCATCTCCAGTCCTCCTGAAAACCTGGCTCAGGAAGCCAAAACAGCGGGACTCCACCCAAGCTTTTGTCCTTACCTCTCACCTTCCCCCAACTGAGCTCAGGGATATAGATATGTTAATTGAGCCTGAGAATCCAAGTTGAGGGCCTGGGATTCGAACCAGCTAAGTTGATGTAAAGTTATGATGTAAAGTTACCTGAATGTCTGGAAAAGTACTGATGTTAGCTGTAACTTGCCTAAGTCCCTCCCAGCTTGGTATGAAGCTCCTCCCCTAAATAAAACAGAGGCCTGGGCCTCCCCAGGTGTGCATCACAGGTTGGAGGGCATGCAGTAAAGATTGCAGTGCATTACAAGATGGAGGGCATGCAGTAAAGATTGCAGGGCAGTGAGTTGCTGCCTGCAGAGGCCACGATGCCTGTACTCCCAAGTCTGCCCACCAGTGATGTATCCACCC